CAGAAGGACACAGTTGACTGGGTTTCGTCTGCTGCAGTTTTCTTGCACTCTCCTGCAAGAGGGAAATCAGCTGGAGGGGGATGCTTTAACCCCATATGGCAGCTAATCGTGGTTGCTCAGGATCATGTGAAATCAAGCAAGCACAGAGAGAGAAGGCAAGGGGATTTCTTTAGCAAGAACAGCTTTCTCGCTTGGCCAGCCAAGCTGGGCACCAGTGCTCAAGAGACTGCAGGCTGACAGTGCTGCAGCGTCAGGGAACTCCCTTAGCAACCATGCACTTGCAAAAGGAGTCTTGCAGGAACAAAGGGCTGATCACAACTTCAGACCTTACACAAGTAAAGGTATTTTGCTAACAACAATGCTGAACAATCTGCATTTCTCACTCCAGAGCCAGGGAGCCTCTGACCTTGGGTACAGGACATCACCTAGCTGGGTGCTGAGGTCCCAAGAGCATCCAAGTGACTTTGCAGCATAAAGCAAACAAGGCTTGTGGAAAAACTTACTCAGGTACTCCCAAGCATACATCCATCCCTGTGACTGCCTTTGTGCTCACTTCTGCCTAAAATATTTATGTGCTGATCAAGGTGGAGCCAGAGGAGGCTTTGAGGTCACTTAGAGAGGTGAACTCCTCACTGCATCCCAAACAGCTGAGACAGCAAGCCAGAAATGATCAAAAGCAATTAGAATATGCCTGTACTACACAGCATTTACTTGTCATGCTAAAGGAGTGCAAAAAGCAAAACAAAAGGGGTTTGCTAATTCTTCCCTGCCCCATCACGCTTGCAACCAGGAAATCATATTAAACACCTCTGCTTTGCTCACTGTTTCCTGTGTGTTCTGTTCAGCTCTCCCTTGTCTCAATAGCTTAAAAGCCTGTTTTCCCCTTTAAAAGCCAACTTTCCTGCCAGGTAGCTCCTCTTAATCTCTCAGTCTTGGCTAGAAGCCTCCCTAGGCTGCTCAAAAAGATAGCTACTCACCCTTTGTTCTTGCAACACCAAAAGCCTCAGCTATCAAATCATTCCAGCTTCCTCTGTAGTCTGAGAGACTCTAAAATGGAAAGAATAAACCCCTCTGTGTATCAGTCCAACAGATTAATAGCTACTAAGGGTTGTGTTTAGACTGTCTTATAAGTGTGCCACACCTCTCTACAAAGCAAGCCTTTTCCAGACCTGATAGAGAGGAGACTTCCTAACAGAGTCATTGACCTTGGACAACAATCCCTGTGTCAGTTCCTCATGTCAGTGCTCAGACTGAGAAAGGAGTCAGAGACTAAACTGGTGCTTCCAGCCTCGGCTCTTCCGTGGACCGACTGGGACATCCCACCAGGATGGGCAGAAGCGTGTCCATACTGGTACGTACTGGTCTAAGGCCATTTTCTTTCTTTGCACGCTGCAGTTATACACAGTTCATCAGCTAAAGAGATGCACATGGCTCCCGTGATGGCAACACTCGTTTCTACAAGCTGAGAGCTGTTCCCACAAGTTGCAAGCAAAAATAACACCCAACTGAAGTAACTACCAGTGTTAATTCAATATTACTTGAAGTTACTTCAACGTGACTTGAGTAACCACCAGCTACATCAGCACAAACACTTCTGTAATCAAGTTATCCATAACTTACGTAGAATTGCCTCAAAAAGCCTTTTTCAGAGTTGTTTGCAGAGAGCATTCACCGTAGGGAGTGTGGGAGGCATGTCCTCCCCTCCATGTATCCTTACAATGCTTTTCTCTTCCCTGGAAAGCAGCCCACCATCTAGCTGCTCACACACCAGTGGACCTTGGCTCTCCCTGTGGAGACCTCTCCATGCCTCCCATACCTGAAAACCCTCTCACACACCTTGACAGCAAGAGCCAGAGAGAGTCCCCAAAGGAAAGAAACCACATCCAGCTGCACTAAGCTCCTCGCAGCCCTGTGACACACGTACTGCATCCCTGCTCCTCCAGCAGCGCTGTGGACTGTGCATGACTCCAACTGCTGTCACTTGGCAGAGGGAGGCTTCCCGAGAACAACTCTTTAGGCTCAACCCCAGCTCAGTGTGCATGGATTTCTAACAGCACCGTTGGGTGCTGCGCTGTTACTCATCATCAGGGCCCGTCACCCACACTGTTCTCCCTGGAGCTGCCTCTTTCCAAGTTGCAGGCATGTGTGGCCCTTCTCCCTGCGCCTTGGGAAGAGCAGCTTGCTCTTATCCAGCACCCAGAGCGTGCCACTTCCCCACATCTGCTCAGCTCCTTTTGCAACTGCAAAACCCTTCTCATTTGTGCAGCAGAACAGCTTTAGAGAGTGTGGCACAGTTCAATGATGCTCTCTCTGCTGAGGAGCAAGCCTGCTCCTGGGCTAAAGAGCACAGCGTCCCCATTTCACGTGAGCAGATGAGCAGCTATAGGCTGTTATAACCCATAGAGATGCAGCAAAACGTTGCCAAAGGTACCAACAAGATTTAGGAAGTGATCTCAGATCTCCTGATGCTCCTTCGATCACAGCAGTCCCAGTGGTCACTTACCCCAGCTACCTTGAAGCAACAGGTAGGTGCTAGAGGCAATGCACACTGTAGCAAGCTACCCTGGGCATCATTCTACTCTGATGTTACACCATTGATTTCTCCTTGGTTAACAACCCCTCTGCAATATGCAGCAGGATCAATGGCTAGTGAGGCTCAAGCAGGCAGCAACCATCCAGGTTCGGGATCTGGAACAGCGGGTTAAGTTTAAACGTTGTTATATTCCCCACCTCACACTTAGTTTCTTCTCCTGTTCAGCTGATATTAGAAGCCTTTGAAGTGTGCATGTGCTTGTGGTCCAGGAGAAAGTCTCCAGGGAAGTAATTTGCTACAAATACCCAGCTACTTAAAAATATTTATATATACTAGAAAAGGATTAGACTTCATTTAGCATTTTCTCTACCTTTAAACCTCATTTAATGCAGCATTAAGCTCCAGCTGCAGCAAATTGGTTCTGAAGTTGTAAAGGAGAAAGGCACTTGAAACAGCAAAATGGTTCAGTAAGGAGAGAAGACTGATTGCTCATTGGTTTCTGCACCATGTTTTAGTAATGGAAAACTAAAGGATAAGTGAGATCCTCAGTTCAAAAATCTTTACTTACAGGATGCTGTTCCCAAACTAGAGAGCATCAGAAAGACACAGGCATCTAGAACAGCTTTAAAGGGCGACAAGATAAGGACTTGCTATAGAAGAGGTATTCAGACTGTAGCTGGGTACCTTGTTCACATTAAAGGAAGAAACATCTTATTACTTGCAACCACTGATAGTCTGTGCAATAGCCAGAGGGTCCTTCCCCAGCCAGCACAGTGAGGGAAGGAGCACCAGGACTGCAGCTTGCTCTGCTGTTGGCAGATAGGGGTGACCATAACCAGCTCTCAGCATGGCAAGGTTTTGGCACAGCCACCTCGAGACCAATAGGGATGCATAAGAGGCTGAGAAAAGCATTAGAGGTGCATGAACTCCATTAGCAGCACCACTAAGTTCTCTGCTGCCCCAAGCCCCACCAGCCCAGTCCCCAGAAAGCATCCTGGATGAGTTCTGGAGCTCAAGATAAAAGCTGGATAATGGAAACCTGATTCTTTAATGTGCACCATATGGTGTGTTCTGAAGCTGTACCCCCTGCTCTGGTACCCATGGGGCAGAGAGTGCTTTGCAGATGGGTGCCTACAGGAGATGGAGCTGCTGGAGCCAGCTAACCAAGCTCCTGCTGTGCAGGCAACTGGAGCTGTTCCTTAGTATTTGAAATAAAAGATTCATAGCTATTACCAAGCAGCTCGAGTCTCGGGAGATTCCAGTTTTCCTACTCCTGCCATCAATCTTTCTGACCAAAATCCATGTCCAGCAGCAGTTCAGAGATTAACAGTCCGCACACTTGTAGTCAGATTGGTTTTCACCACTGAAACACAGCATGTGCTTCCACAGCACAAGCCCCCATCAAATATTTACTCTGCTCAAAGAGCCATCAGTGACCTGCACAAAAGCATTTTTCACATACTGAGCAGGAAAACACACTCCATCCAGTCTCTTTGAGCCCGGTTACATCCGGCTCCAGGTTCTCCAGCAGATGAGAAGAAAACCGGTTGCAAACGCTTAAATATTTAAGCTTCTTGCATTTGTGAAGTCTTGCAAGTCAGGAAAACACAGAGGGAAGGAGCAGGGTCCCTTTGTAAGGACATTTAGTTTTCAAAGGCATCGAGATAGAAGTATGCCCTGCAGACCCGGAACATGTTTACACACTGCAAGGTGAGCTCCTACTGCTCCTCGTTTGGCCACCTTCCTACAACCCACATGCTACATCCTCCTTGGATACACAGCGCGGGCCCTGCAGCCCAGCCCATCTCACAGGGGTTATAAGAAACATCCTTTTTTTTATGGCAACATGCAGAAAAAGAGGCAAATGTGAGCGCAGAAGGGATTTATGAGGACTCCCAGCCCACAGGGTGATGCGGTATGCGCAGCAGATGAGGGTACAGCTGCCTCACAGGCAGGATTTGCCTGGATTTATGGATACAGCTATGGGTGTCCACAGTATCTGCTCCAGCCAAGCTGCTGCAGGAAGAACCAGAGGCATAGGAATGGCCACTCTGCCCTCGCAAGATGTTTATGCTGGGATATTTGGATAGGGATAAAGAAGGGATTTGTAGTGATCCGTTTTGCATGGGAAGCCTGCAAAGACACCCGAATTCTCTTACCAGAAAGCACTCCAGACACAGGTTTCTTGGCATAGTTTTGGGCACCTTCAGTGAGCTGAAAGCCTTCACCTCTGAGCTTGTTCGCACCTCCTTAGTGAGCTGTTCACACCTTATCATGGCTTGAGGCTCTCTCCAGCCCCAGCATCTCATCAGTCCTCCACCCAGCCCCAGGTCAGAGCCACCCAGGGCTGTAATCCCCTTCCTCCCCACACCTGGGGATGCTGCAGAGCCAGACCTCCCACCCATGGGCAGCTTTTACAAGCATCTCTTCCTCACCCCGTGCTGCACCATGCCACTGCCACACCAACCTGGCTTCCCCCATAGGGACCTTTCATCCTCTTCGTGTTCTCCTCCAGTTTAAGAGGCAAAGAAACGCTCCTTCCCATGAACACAAAGTCACCAAGCAAGAACAGGCACTGCTTCTCCAAGGCCAGCAGCATGATATCCCCTGGCTCCACGCAGCATCAGCCCATAGTCAGCCACCTCAGAGACAACAAACCACCTTCAAACCTCCTCCTGCCCCACATGCATCCCCTTATATACCCACCCATCTCTCCCAGCAGGGCCCCTGCTCCTGGGAAACTACAGCTCCCATGACGCCTGACCATTAGGAGTTGCAGTCCTGATGCCTGATCTCTAAGGGAAAGGGCTTGCAATGCAAGGCCAGCGTTTGGGGACCAGCTCCAGCTAGCCCAAGCACCCCTTTCCAGGCAGATATGTGATTATTTTGCAAAGGTCCCCTATTCCCACCTTCCATATCCCTGCATTTTCATGGAAAGGGTCTTTAACACGTGAAGATACTGAAGATCTCCATCACCAAATGGAAAAGCAGGGTTCTGCCAGCTGGAGGAAGGTGTTTGCAGACCCTGGAAATAGGTTTATTGCATGAGAATTGCTGTTTATGAGCCCTGGGGTGTCAGGCGTGTGCCTCATTGTGGAAAACTGTTCCTACCATTCACTCAGCTCCAGGAAGTAAATTTCTGTGGTTCAGGAGAAAGTAACTGTGGCAAATCCCCAGTGTAAGGAAAGACAGAAAGCTTTTTCTATTCCTAATTACACTGCGTTTCTAAACTTTCCCCTATGGCATGAAATAGTGGAGTTCTTTAGCAGCTTTCCCCTAAGAAAACGCTAACAAAGGAGGCATTGTTACAAGTGAGGAGTGCTGAAATCCCAGTCACTACGCTGGCTCTGAGCCCATCATCCACAGCAGATGGGATGGCTTCTTCCCATGCGGTGCACGGGACCAGCTTCAGCTCGGCTGGAGAAAACGGGCAGGTTTAGAAGAGCTAAATTGGGAACAGGGATGGGGGGACTTGCCAATGGACAGTAAATGCTTAACATCCCACAGTGCATCAAAGATATATCAGCAACCTTTGCACTCACCTGTGCGGCTTGACCTAAATGAGTGACTCCACAGAGGTGAAAACACACCTAAACCCAGAAACATTCTAATTCAACAAGAGTATACCAGTTCAGAGACAAACTGCCCCCCAGGAAGCCCTCCTCTGTGTTCACACTGGTTCCACATCCATCCCTACATGTTCCATTCACAGCCATCGGTGGTGTGGCATCACTCCCGTATTGATATCATGCCACTGCTCCCGGCAGTTCTCTTGTTGTAAGCAGGACAGCTCTGTTACATCAGTGCCCTGCTCATCTCCAAAGAGAAAAGCTGCTTCCATGTGGAAAATACAATATTGCCCATGGGAGACGTGTTCAAAAGGCTGGAACAAATTCATTCATGCACCACCAGGTCCTTGCAAAATGCCTTGGTTTTATTCCGTGTTGGTGAGCGGAGGAACCCAGTGTTCCCTCTGTACTACTAAGCTGTCACTCAGAACAAAATGATGTTAGCAGTGTAGCTTAGGAAATGTTATTAAATGCAGGCAGTTATTCTGCAGATTACATTTTCTGCCTCACGCACAGATAATAATGTTCATGCACAAAGCCAGGGTGAAGTGTAGTCAGAGAGAAAGGGAGCGCTTCCCGCTGTACGAGGGATGAGAGGAGATGCGTGCACGGCCCAACCAGCTGCTCTCCCCCCCCAGGGCATAGGATGCTCTTTGCAGTTTTGCTCACTGAGTTCCCAACACGTTATGTCCATAAGGAAGCCGGAGGGACAAAGAGGTGGGCTTCCTGAAGGAGCTGGTGTGGGGCCTTGGTTCATCCAGCTCCCTGGGTAATCTCAGCAATGCCATGGATGTCCAAGGGCATCTGAGCCCTTCCTGAGTGCTAGCCAATCTCCCACTGCACGTCTCATGGTACAAGGCTGCTTTAAGAAGAGCTTTGTTACCAAAGAGGCACAGCAGGATTTTCCAATGCAGCTACAAACTCCTGCACGTGGTTCAGTGGGAGCTTGGGATGCGAACCCCTCCATTTGGTGTCTTTGCAAGTCAGCTCACCCCAAGCAGCAGAAGAGGGATGCTAAAAGAAATGGCCCCCAAAGATTTGTTCTTGAACCCCTGCTCAGGCTGAAGCTGTTTCGGCCTTCAACAGAGGAGATTATCCATTGGGAATTTGTCCTTGTGTGGGTAGGAAGGACCAAAGCCCCGGTCGAGCCAAAAGAGTGATCTGCAATGTCACTTTGCATGATGAGCACCTCAGCACCCAAATGTGCAGCTGGAGGCTAATGGAGAGGCTAGATCCAGACTTTGCACCATAAATCCATGATTAAAACACTTTAATGTCAAACAGTGGGATTCAGATCTCAGGCACTTCTGGGGCTCAAGCAGCACTTGGGTAGGAGGGAGACTTGAAAGTCCACCCCCCCTGCTCAAGCCCTATATCTGCTCTAGCCCTAAGTGTTAAAAGCTTCGAAGCAGAAATGACTTTTCCACTCTTTCTCCCCCTTTTGATTCAGATCTTTGTTAATAAGAGCATGGATGAGAAATTTGCAATGTTTTGAGAGCTTTCTCTCTTTTTCAGGCTCATTAGAGTGGGTGCAAAAGGCATTATTGTAAATAGGTCTCAGGACCGTTCAGATGCGTTTCTCTTTTGGCAGGAGATGTGTTTGGAAATTTGTATTTAAATGATGATTTGAATGGAGTCTGGGTTGAGGAATTCGCTGTTTATGAGCAATTCCATTTTAGTGTTTGCTTATCTCAGTGTTGCTATTGCTGTTGCTGGAGATCAGAGAAGGCACAACTCTTCTTAACAGCCTTGGTGGGTGAAGGCTGGCGTGGTGGAGATGCGCTTAGTATGAATTCGTCAGGGTTGAGCATCTGCTTTGGGAGACGTGAGGTTGGCTTCGTGCTCGTGGAAACTTGTGAATAGTAAAAATTAGGAGCCTTTTATAGCACCTCGGAATAAACATTTCAAATGAACAATCAAGCTGTGCGGAAAGAAAAGGGAAAACCCCTGGCAGGGCTGGTCTATCCGATCCTATCGGCTCCGCTGACATCCCCACTGAGGAATGGCAAGGAAAGGAAAACAAATTTCAGGTCAGCCCCCAGCGTTTTGCTTTAATTGGAAATATTGAAACAAGATGTTTCAGCCTGGTTCATTGCTCATTTTGATGTGTATTTGTAGCTTTGTTCTCAGCTGAGATGAGCAACGACCATTGAAAGAGCAAGAATCCCTCCTGAAAAGTGCTTCCTCCATCAGCTCCCAACAGTGCTGAGAATTTGGGCCTTGGTAATAACTCCTTAGAAATGCTCACGGAGGTGAAAGTCCCTTCCTGGTGATTAAAACAGACCTGGTTTATTCCGTGTTTGTGGCAGACAATAAGGACACACAGCGCTTGCTTCCATGGGATGGGAAGATGCATGAACCCACCTGCTTATGATCACAGAATCATAGAATAGTTAGGGTTGGAAAGCACCTGAAGATGATCCAGCTCCAACCCCCCTGCCATTTGCAGGGATCAGGTGTTCATTTCCTAAAATCAAACTGCTGACATTAAACCATGACCTCTTCCCAAATGGACATGCTTTCTTGCAGATGACTTCTTTTAGTTCAGCTCTTCAATAAATAAATGGGAATAAGCGACAAGGTTTAACAGGATCACACTGAACACGCCTCTTAAAACGAGTCCTGAGCAGACAGAAGCAGCTTTTTCTTGTCCCCACCAAGCTCCATCATGAGATGAGCAATTGAAATTCCTCCATTGTACCTAATTCACTTATAATTATTTGGAGAAGGGAGGAGGGAGGTGGAAATGTCATTACCCTGTTTAATGACTCTACCACAGAGGCCTCCTGGGCATTTCTCTTTCTTTGTCTATCTCCCCCCTTTTTTCTTTTTAATAAACAAAATCGTGCTGGATGGTGAGATTTAAATATTTAACAACATTTACTTGCAGAGCATTTAGCCGCTGACTTTTAAACCTGCCCCTCCAGTTCCATTGTAATTCTGTTTGCTGTTTCAGAGGAGCACTAATCGTTCCTTAATATGTGCCCTCCTGGGCTCTCCTCCCTGTCTCCCTTCCCCTTCTACACTGTTTGGAGGGGGAAGCGATGTCGCACATGTGTCTCTGTGTTTTTCCTAGCTCATCTGCTTGTTCTTCGCTATAATGAAAGGATTTTCAGGCACTTTGGTCAGTTAAAATAATCACAGGCTGCCGCTGACCAATTGGATGGAGAAAACCCATTAGTGAAGTGCTATGGTGCCCACACACAATTAACACCTGGATTTCAGAGTTTTCCAAAGTCCTTCTGTTGTGAGCCCATCAAGTGGCAGCACTTGGGTGGGATGTGTGGAAGGAATAAGGGTGAGAACAGTCCTGAGCCCCTCGTGCTGTGTGGTACCTGAGGCAGCAAGCATGTGTGATGGTCAGTAATACTTCAGTGAGGCTGCAAAACCTGAGGTCGTTTGCCTATAAAAGACCTAAAAGGATCATTGTCCCCTGCTTGTGGGGCTTGGGAATGGGAATACTGATGAGATCTGGATCTGAAACTCGCAGCTGATGTCTGGTTCTTTGCACGTTGTTTCTGGCGTGAGTCTTTTGAGCCCATCTCCTGTAGCTTCCCCAGCTGTGCAGTTCTGCTCTTGCCATGGGCAGGCTTATTCGTGTTCCCTGTTTCAATAAATCGAGCCAAAAGAGAGGGACCAGTTTGCTGATCTCTGAGTGTTACAGGTTGAGCCTCTGAAACTCAGCCCCAAGGATGTGAATGCAAAGTGTGTTAACAAAAGAGAGCAGGAAGGGAAGCAGTTGAGGGTTTATTTAATTAATGCATTAACCTTGACTCTTGCTATTATTTTCCTTGAAAAAGTAGCAATAGAATTCATCCAGAGTCCTTGCTTCTTTTCAGCGGGTGGAGGAGGATGTGTGATAACATTAGAGAACCTTGGAGGTAGAGCGTTCCTGTACTCAAACAAAACGAAGAGAGAAGCAAACGAATTTTGGGGCATTATGTTCCTTTCTCATTCCTCCAGTTAATTACTTCTGTGGCCAGAGTGGCTTTCACAGAATGGGTTTCACCATCATTTTCAAAGCCGCTGGAGGAGCTCAGCAGTTGTGTGCAGGAAAGGTTGATAGGGTATAAAAACAAGCCACAAAA